TCTTGTTCTAGTTAAGCCTTGATTGTTGTAGTTAATACTAGAGGGATTTGACCACCAGGCCGGCTGGCTGTGAGAATCAGCTGTGGGAAAATTTCTGTCCTCTGGGGAGGTGCTAATCTAGCCTTTGCCTGAGGTGATCTGGCAAATGGCTCTGCGCAGGGCTTGGGCGGGGCGGGTAGCACGGGATCAACTGGGCGGGCGGAGGGAGCAGTTATGGCTGCTCTCAGTCCTGTTCCCAGAGGCTCTGCTTCTCAGAACCCCGGCAACCACTGCAAACCTCGGAGAGAAAGCTGCCCTCACGTTCCAACTGATGCTAGACAATCCCGCTTCTCCCGTTTGAGTCTGAGTCCCTGGAGACTCGCCCGGATCTGGAGCTCAGAGTCTGAGACTCCCTCCTGATTGAAAATGACAACCGCGCCCTCAGCCACCAGCCTGCTTTGCGCGCGCACCTCCGCACCTTTAAATTTTCCACACTGTGCCTCCTCTGAGCCTCAGTATGCTGTTGTCTTTCCTTCTAGTTGAAGAGTCTCTCCTCAGCCAGCCTTTCTGTGGTTCTGGGTGATGTCCGTTCCGTCTTTTAGTTGTATTTTTGAAGTGGTTGTTTGCGGCAGCAGTCTCTGGTGTTTACCTATGCCGCCATCTTTGTGGTCTCCTCCAATGTGTTCTTTATTAGTGTTATGTCATTCTTTATTTCTGACTGTTCTTTTTTCATAGTTATTATATCTTTCCTCATGCTGTTGAGCATCTTTACCATCATTATTCTGAACTCTGTATCAGATAAATTTCTTATCTCCATTTCATTTATCTCTTCTTCTGGAGAAATCTCTTGCTGTATTTTTGTCTCCCCATTTTGTCTGCCTGTTTGGGTTTGTGACTATTAGGTAGATCTGCTACACCTCTCAATCTCTAAGGCAGAACAGTGTCAATCGCTGTTTCTAACTAATTAGATCAGGCAAATACTCAAAGCCTGCAGACTGACTGGATTCAGTCTTCAGTAGCCCTCAGGCAATCGTCCACAGATGTGATGAGAGGTTTCCAATGGAGTTGGGCAATTGCTTTGGCCTGGAGACTAATTGTTATTCTCAGTCTCTTAATGGGCCTCAGAAACTCCACACTATGTGGCCAGGGGTTTTCCAATTGGGTCAACTGTTTTCCCCCAGGCAAAAACCACCTGGATAGCAAAGGTCTGCCTGAGAAAGATGACCTCCACAGCATGAGGGAATGGGAGGGGGGGGGTTGGCGGGGGGGGGGCGGGGCGCGGGGCGGCACGGGGAGGAGTCTGCCTTCTGAGCTCTAACCCCAGAGCCCCCAGCCCTGGCTTCTGTTCACACAGCTCCAGTCCACTCTGCCCTCCCTCTGCCAGAGCACAAGGTGAGTGGCTGCACACAAAATTTTGTGCTTTGGCCCTTTAAGAGGATGCCTGCATTTCCAGCTGTCTCTCCCAGGCAGACAGCAACCCTGCTGTTTTTCACAGACAGATGTTACATGGGCACCTTTGTCAGTTCTGGTGCTCTCTGCATGGGGGCCCAGCTTGGGGATTAGACCCAGAGTTCTCAGTGGCAACCCCCACAGCTGAGATATCCCTCCGGAACTTCAGCTGCTGTCTGTGGGAGCCCGGCCAGCCCTTTCGTGCCTCTGACCTTCCTACCAGTCTCTATGCAGTCTCCACATTCAGTCCTTGGTTATCAGGGTTCTCTCTAGCTAGTCTTCAGTTCATTATTCAGGGTGGTTTCTTTGTATTTTAGTTGTAATTCCAGTTTGGTTCTGGGAGCATGTCTGTGTCACATCTACTTACTCCACCGCCATTTTTAATCTCCAAACACAGTTATTTTTGGGGGATCAGATAAGAGGTCTGTAAATTTTAAGTATTGTGAATATTTTTTTCTTCATCTGTGGTTAGCCTTGTCATTATCTTAACAGTTTGTTTCTCAGAGGAAAAGTTTTTAATTGTGATGAAGTGCATTTTATCAAAATTATCTATTATGGCTTGTGCTTTTGTGTCCCATTTAAGAAATCTTGTTCTGGCTGGGTAGCTCAGTTGGTTAGAACATCATACTGGTATCCAGGGTTTTAGGGTTGATCCTCAGTCAGGGCACATACAAGAATCAACCAATGATGCCCTAGCCCAGTGGTCGGCAAACTGCAGCTCGAGAGCCACATGCGGCTCTTTGGTCCCTTGAGTGTGGCTCTTTCACAAAATACCACGTGCGGGTGCGCACATACGGTGCAATTGAAACTTCGTGGCCCATGCGCAGAAGTCGGTTTTTGGCCTGGGCGAGTCTATTTTGAAGAAGTACTGTTGATATTTGGCTCTGTTGACTAATGAGTTTGCCGACCACTGCCTGCCGATTTGTCTCAGTGGATAGAGTGTCCGTCTGAGGACTGAAGGGTCCCAGGTTTGATTCCTGATCAAGTGCACATGCCCAGGTTGCGGGCTCAATCCCCAGTTGGGGGCATGCAAGAGGCAGCCAATCAATGATTCTCTCTCATCATTGATGTTTCTATCTCTCTCTCCCTCTCCCTTCCTCTCTGAAATCAATAAAAATATATTTTAAAAATAACATAAAAATATGTTTTAAAAAAAGAATCAGCCAAAACCGGTTTGGCTCAGTGGATAGAGCATCGGCCTGTGGACTGGGAGGTCCCAGGTTCGATTTCGGTCAGGGGCATGTACCTTGGTTGCGGGCACATCCCCAGTGGGAGATGTGCAGGAGGCGGCTGATCGATGTTTCTCTCTCATCGATGTTTCTAGCTCTCTATCTCTCTCCCTTCCTCTCTGTAAAAAAATCAATAAAATATATTTTTTTTAAAAAGAATCAACCAATGATGCATAAATAAGTAGAACAAATTGATCTCTCTAAATAAATGAATAAATAAAATACATTTATTAAAATCACAGAAGGTAGCCCTAACCGGTTTGACTCAGTGGATAGAGCGTTGGCCGGCGGACTGAAGGGTCCCAGGTTCGGTTCCGGTCAAGGGCATGTGCCTTGGTTGCGGGCATATCCCCAGTGGGGGGTGTGCAGGAGGCAGCTGATCGGTGTTTCTCTCTCATCGATGTTTCTAACTCTCTATTCGTCTCCCTTCCTCTCTGAAAAATATCAATAAAATGTATTTTTGAAAAATCACAGAAGGTGATTTTTAAAAAATCTTTGCCCATCTCAAGTTAGAGATTATCTCTTGCCCTTTTTTTCCTGTTTTTAGAGTTTTAGCATTTATGTTTAGATCTTAATCCTTTTTAAAAAAAATTTTTTTTGAGCCTTAGCTGGTTTGGCTCAGTGTATAGGGTCCCGGGTTTGATTCCGGTCAAGGAGACATACCTCAGTTGCAGGCTCCCAGCCCTGGTCCCGGGCATCATGCGGAAGGCAGCCAATCAATGTGTCTCTCTCACATCGGTGTTTCTCTCTGTCTCTCCCTTCTACTCGCTCTAAAAAATCAATAGAAAATATCCTCAGGTGAGGATTATTAAATAAACAAACAAACAAACAAACAAATAAATAAAATGTGAAGGACTGAGTGCTGTTCTTCCTAATAAATTCTTAAAATACAATTTTCATTGATTTTGGGGGAGAGAGAGAGAGAGAGAGAGAGAGAGAGAGAGAGAGAGAGAGAGAGAGAAACATTGATGGGAGAGGCAAATAAGGATCGGCTGTCCTGGGCATACTCCCAGGCATGACTGGGAATTGAACCAGCAACCTCTCAGTGCACAGGACAACTCCCAACTCCCAGCCACACCAGCCAGGGCAGTCTTGATAATTTTTAGTTAATTTTTGGGCATGGTGTGAGGTAAGGGTTGAGGTTCATTTCTTGCTATATGTGGAAATTACTGTCTTTTTTCCCCCCATTGAATTAGCTTGACAGTATTTTATCAAACATAAATTGTCCATATATCAGTTTATTTCCAGACTCTTTTTTCTGATTTGTTGATCTGTGTGTCTGTCCTTATGCCAATGCCACATTCTTGGTTACTAGAGCTTTCTAGTAAGTCTTGAAATCGTGTAGTGTAAATAGTCTTTGTTCTTTTCAAAATTGTTTTGATAGTCTAGGTCATTTTAGTTTTTAACTGAATTGTAATGAATATTTCTACAAAAATTTTATGAATGTTTCTATGGAGAAAAAAAACATTTTTTTATATTTTCTCTAGTCAGTTTAGATAATTTTTAACTTTCTGGGAATTTGTTCCCCTCATTTATGTTGCCAAATTTGTTGGCCTAAACTTTTTCATAATATTCCCTTGTAACCCCCTGTATTTTATGTAGAGTCATTAGTGGTGTTTCTTCTTCTTCTTTTTTTTAAATCCTCACCTGAGGATATGTTGTTGTTTTTTTAAATTGATTTTAGAGAGAGGAAGGGGGAAAGAGAGAGAGAAACATTGATGTGAGAGAGAAACATTGGTCAGTTGCCTCCCATATGTGCCCAGACCAGAGATTGACCCTCAATCCAGTTATGTTCCCTGACCAGGAATCAAACCTGCAACCTTCTTGATTAGGAGACGATATTCCAACCAACTGAGCCATGTGACCAGGGCTAGTGGGGTTCATTCTTTTTTTTTCTTTTTTAAAATATATTTTTATTGATTTCAGAGAGGAAGGGAGAGGGAGAGAAAGATAGAGACATCAATGATGAGAGAGAATCATCAATCAGCTGCCTTCTGCATATCACACACTGGGGATTAAGCCCGAAACCCAGGCATGTGCCCTGACCAGGAATTGAACCATGACCTCCTGGTTCATAGGCCAACGCTCAACCACTGAGCCACACCAGCTGGGCTGGTGTTCATTCTTGATTTTGGATTATAATTGTTGTGAGGAATGAATGGTTTGATACATATAAGTCCCTAAGATCAGTGTTTGGGTAGGGGTAGGGTACCTAGATTTATTATGATGGGGAATGGATGGATAGATGATTGGATGGCTCAATGGACAGTGCACAACTGATTCAATGAATAAAGGAACAGTATGTGTGTGTGGGGGGGGTGTGAATGAAGTCATGGACACTCATTAGACACCCTCAGATAGTTTATTAGAAGCTTAAAATGGAGTCTTGTGGGATCTTTCTCTGTGTGCTCCCAGGAATAGATCAGATCTGGACATAGGACAAGGTGACATCACCCTCAATCTCCAGAATGTCCACCCTCTGGAAGGCTGAAAGGCGATGGGAGAAGTCGAAGAGGTGCTGGCCGTTGCCATAAACCTTGAAACGATCGATGCCACAACGAATGGACAGCTGCAGGGAGAGGGGCAGGCATGAGGCTATGGCCAGGACAGAGGCATTGGAGGGAAGTGGGAAAGAAAGCCAGACTCACATCAAAGTACTGGCCACAACCAAACGGGTTGTAGGAGATCTTCTTCTCCTCGGATCCCCACGAGCCGTTCAGATAGCTGTTCCGAACCACGGTGCCCTCGACCAGGCGGGGGTTAATGTGGAGAGCCAGGTCCCCGGAGGATCCCACCTTGAAGTTGATGGCAAACCTGGGGACAGAGAGGGAGATGAGAGTCAGGAGGTGGCCAGCACCTGGCCCCTCAAGGGACAGAGGGCTCAAAACTGGACTCCAGGGTCAGAGGGAGAAGGGAAGCTGAGGACTCCCACCTCAGCCTCAGTTCCGTACCTCTTGCCTGTGGGAGGCACGTAGCCCTTGACTATGATGGTTTTTCGGGCTGTAAGTCCCCCTTGCAGTTTTCCCATAAATGGCACAGTCTGTGAAAAGAGAACACGGGGTCCCATCATCTCTCAGGTCACCAGAAGCCAGATGCAAGGACAAATTTTCAGAGAGAGGCTCCTACTAGTCCTGGGAAATATCCCCAATTCCTGTCCCCTGCCCCACTCTGACCACCAACTCCTTTTTCCACTTCCTGTCCCCAACACCCTTTGCCCTCTCAAGGCTCCCCGTGGATCAGGGCCCCTAACCCCCCTCAATTCCTGCTTCTCCACAAATTGCCCACCATAGAGTCCTAAACTGCAGGGCTCCTTACCGGGTTGAAGATTGGGGGTCCCTCCATGGTCTGTGAAGTGAGAAAGAAGAGATATTATTCTATAATATTTGACAAATATTGACGGCACACATACAACATGTAAGCATATCGCCAGGTACTGGATTGGTACTCCTGGGGATCCAAACTCTATGACCCTCCCAGTTCTCACCCTCCCTCACTACATGCCACACAGCCCTCCCACTTACCGGCAGGCTATTCAGCGGAGGCTTGCATCCAGAACCCTACATGGATAGAAAAGGTAGGAACGGTGAAAAGACCAGGGTCCCCTGCCCCAGGACCTCCTCAGCCACCAAACCCCCGTCAAGGGAAAATGTGTATCTACCAGCAGGTACTTACTGGATATGCTGGAATAACCATGGGGGTCTGTGGGCACAGAGGGAGAAGGAGGTGATGAGAGGGACTCTGAATGAGGCCTGGAGAGTGTCAAGGATGCCTGCCCACCACCACCACCCAAGGGAACTCTGGAGCCAAAGGGTGGACTCAAATGGCTCATTAATGGAGAGGGACTTGCTGTTTCGGGATCACCACCACTTTGGAAAAACCTGGTAAATTCTATTCTTGTACCCCCTCCTACCCTGTCTTCCTGCTGTCCCCCCAAATCCAGAAGCTGCATAATGAAGTGTACATACCTCCAGGCCCATCCAGTACCCATGCTCCCCTCATCCCCAGCCACCATGCCCCTCACTCCACATGCCCACCGCCGGGGCAACCGGGACTCCCGGAACCAGCCAAGTCCTGTCTGTCTCAGGCTCTCTCAGTCCGTGTGTGTCTCCTGTCTGTTTCTCTGTTTCTGTTGCTGTCTCTTGTCCACACCTCCTCTCAGGTGGTTCCTTCTGCCCGAAACACCTTTCCCTTCCCTAGTTGACTTTCATTAACTCTCTATTTCCTCTTCTTTCTAATGATCTCCTCTCTGCCTGACTTCCATTTTAAGCCAGCTTTTCTGAAGGCCCTTTTCTGAAGGCCTTATTTAGTTTTCTTTCCAAAATGCATTGATGAAGCATGAGGGTAAAATGAAGGCCCTAGGCCCGTGACCACCGTACAGATAAACACATTCCCGACGTTTCTTCACCAGGGAGCAGAGGAGCAGTGAGCACAGACCCCGAGGCTCTGCCACTTGCTGGTCCATGACCTGGGGCAAGTCACTTAAGCTCTCGGTGCCTCAGCTCCCACATCTGTAAAACGGAGCTGATGATCACCAGAGCACTTTCCCGTGGAGGTGCTGGCTGGGGGCGTGGAGCCCTCCGCCGAAGGGCCCCTCGGGAGGCTGGATTCGGGCTTCCCGACCGGTTCGTCCGAGTGCGGGAGTTCTGGTGGCCATTTGTTCACTGTGGACCCAGGAGTGGGGTTTCTAAGTCGTTGGTAAGTGTCTGGTCAGCCTTCACAGATGCTGCCCAGTCATTTTCCAAGGCATGGGAGTGTCGCCAGTCCACGGCCCCACCAACGGTGGGTATTGGTGCCTTTCTCAGTGTGGCTCCTCTGGTGGGTGCAGTGGTGGCTCATATTGATTTTCACGGAGTTTCTGGGTGACTAATGATGTTAGGCAAAGTCTCATGAACTTGTTTGCTATTCCTGTGGTTTTGTTCCTCCTTATCTTCCCTTCCTGACTCAACGTACACACTTCCTCCTTCTCTAGGAAGCCCTTCACTAAGACGCCCAAAGCTCCTGTGCGTCCCCCATCCCGGCCCTGACCATTGTGGCCAACACCAACTGGTGACATGTAGACTGTCTTGGTCCTCTGGGTCCCTGGCATCACCCAGCAAAGGGTGCCAGGAAATAAAGGAATGTGGGAATGAATTAATTAAAGAAGGAAGCAGCCCAGGCCGAGTAGCTCAGTTGGTTAGTGTCTTTCTGATATGCCAAGGTTGTGGGTTTGATCCCTGGTCAAGGCATATACAAAAATCAACCAATGAATGCATAAATAAGTGGAACAACAAGTCTCTCTCTCTCTCTCTCTCTCTCTCTCTCTCTCTCCTTTCTAAAATCAATAAATTTAAAATTAAAATAAAACAAAGAAGGAAGCAATAAGAGAGGGGGACCCTACACACCTGGCTTGGGGCCGGCTGGCCTCCGATGAAATTGATTGATTGAAGCTCCAGGTCCCCATCCACTTGCAGGTGAGTGACCATCTGTAGAGGGAGCCGGTGCCCAAACTCATAGAACGGATTTCCATTTACCACCACCTGGGGGGCAGGGTAAGGTCAGAGTCAACATCCATGCCCTGGGAAAGGTAGAGACAGGAAGCAGGGAACAGGGGTCTTTTTAACTTGGGGTCAAAAGTCTTAGAGTGAGCTGGGATAGCTTCAGAGTCAGGAACCTAGGAGTCCACAGGTCAGAGGTCAAGCTAGGGTCAAAAGTCAGCTCACAGATTAATGGATAGGAGAGAACATAGAATTTAGTCTGGGGATAGAGAGACTCGAGTCTAAGGCCCGGTTTAAGCACCAAATGAGTTGGGTTGGAGGTCTAGCTCTGACATGTCTTAGGTGTGTGACCTCAGATAAACCAATTCACCTCTCTGAGACTTTGTTTCCTCATCTGTAACATGGGGCTCACTCTGGGATTGTTGGGAAGGTTAAAAGCCAGCAAAGTATGCCAGAGGCACTGTGCAAGCCCCATGTGGAGCCTTGCCTTGTGATCATATCTCAGCACGCGGTTCTAGTCAGAGTGCTGAGCAACGACCATGAGGCCGAGAGCCAGCTCCCCAGGACTGAGTGCTTCCTACATGCTAAGACGCTCCAGTGCATAGAGTGACCAGCTCAAGGTCACACATTGGGGAGTGGCAAAGCCCAGTCTCAATCCTTGTCTGTCCAAGCTCCAGTAGGCTCCAGTGCATAGAGTGACCAGCTCAAGGTCACACATTGGGGAGTGGCAAAGCCCAGTCTCAATCCTTGTCTGTCCAACCCCAAACCGTGGTGCTAACCTCCAAAAATGATGTTAGAAATCTGGTGCCCATATAAGGGTAGATACAGTCCAGGTGGGTGCCCAGCCCTGCAGTTCCCCTCCAGGGGACTCTCCACATTGGTCACATGGGATGCATGCGCACAGGGCATCTGCTCAATGCCATCTGTGGGGAGTCGAGGCAGGGATGGAGGGAACTCAGAGCGTGTCCGCCTGGAGTCCTACACAATCACACAGCACAGCCACACATACTTAAAAAAAAAGGCAGGGAAATAGATCCAGGCTGAGAAAAGACAGGATAAAGGCCACCTGTGTGGGCGAGGGCACTGGGGGGGCCTGAAGGGGCTTTGGGGGCTACAGGCATTTTGTTTTTAGACCAAGCGCTGGCTACATGGGTGCACTGTCTTTGGGAAAAGTCGTCCGAGCTGTGTACACAAGGCGGGCACCTTTTTGTACCTGGGTCACACTTCACTAACAAAACATACCTGCACAATAGCAACTAGTCTCAATGTGTGAGTCTCATTTGGACCTTGATTCAAACAAACTGTAGAAAACAGCGAACAAGGCGTGTAAGGATATGTGGTGACACTGAGCAAGGACGGTCAGTTTTTAGGTGTGATCATGACGGCATGACTGTGTTTGTAAAAACTGAAATACTTATGAATGAAATTGTATGATGTCTGGGATTTGTTTTGAAGTAAATTGGAGGGGAAGTGAGAGGTAAGGATGAAAGCAGAGGGCACCGTGACTGGAGCTGGCCAAGGAGACCTCGTCACTGTACTCGGTGCTTCCTGTGTGTGTGTTTAGAGTCTCCACAGAAATAGCAAAAATACACATTTCACAAGAACACAAAGGAACAGATGATATACATTAAACATATTAGAAGCCTCTCCCCGGGAGGAATGGGGAGGAGAAAAAGAGATAAAAGAGACATTTTTTAATAGGCAGGAAAGAAGGAAAAGGGAAAAGCTCGGTAGGAAGGGAGGAGGGAAGGGGGAGAGAAAAAAGAAGAGAGGAGGAAAGAAAGGAGGGAAAGAGAGAGGGGGAGGGGAAAATGGGAGGGGACAGAAGGGAGTGGAGGGAGGAGGAGGGAAGGGGAGGAGTGGGGAGAAGAGGGAGGAGAGGGAGGGAAGGAGGGAGGGGGAGCGGGAGGGGGCGGGGGAGGGGGAGAGGGGTGGGAAGGCCGGGCCCTGAAATTCCCACCTTGTAGTGCTCTGGCAGGACCATGAACACCAGCTCGAAGGGGGTGCCCTTGCGGAAGGGCATGCTCCTTTTCTTCTCCTCACTGCCCCACTGGCCGCCCTGCTGCGAATTGAAGACCACCTTGTCCCAGCCATCAAAACGGGGATTGAAGTGGAAGGCGATGTCGGCCCCGGGGCCCTGTCCCGCCACGAAGTTCACGGAGAACCTGGGGGGGCATGATGAGTTGTTCCCCTGGCCCCACCTGCCAGCCCAGGGAACCCTCCTCTGGGAACCCTCTCTGCCCCACCTTGTTCCAGGTTCCCGATGGGGTGGCCTTGGCACTGCTGACCCAGGACAGGAGGGGTGGTTGTGCCCCTGAGTTCCAGGAAGCAGACTCCCACCTCCACCCTCTCCCCTCACTGGCTCCCTTTCCCTTTACTTTAAAAAAAAATTTATCTTTATTGTTGAAAGGATTACAGATGTCCCCCTTTTTTCTCCCATTGACCCCCTTCACCCTGTACCCACCTTTTTTCTCCGCTCCCTTTCCTTACTAGCCTCCTCCTCTAACCCCTCAAATAGGCCTGCCCCTGGGATCCCTGCGTTCACCTACAGTCACCATGGGCACTGCCCTCGGAGCCCTGCATCTACCAATTCAGGCCTCTTGCTCCCTCCCTGGCCCTGTAGGCCGTTCCCCACATGCACCCAGAGGGACCGGTCAACACCCAAGTGAGAGCACCTCCCCTCACACCAGCATCCCCAAAGGTGTCCCATCCAGGCAGGCACACATGTGTCTCAGGGCCTGCACTGGCTGCTCTTTCTGCCTGGAAAGCCCTTCCCTCAAACATACCCCAGGCGCCTCCCTCACCTCCATCAGGTCTTTGCTGAGATGTTCCTTTCCCAGAAAGGCCTTTCCTGGCCACCCTATTTAAAGGGACAGTGCCATGCCCCTCTCCCCCACAACCACTCCTGATCGCCTTCCCTCATTTGACTCTATAGCATTTATAACCATCTGACATTTTATTATGTTTTTTTAAAATTCATTTTTATTGATTTCAGAGAGGAAGGAAGAGGGAGAGAGAGAAACATCAATGATGAGAGAGAATTCACTGATCACTGGGGATCGAGCCCGCAACCTGGGCATGTGCCCTTGACTGGAATTGAACCGGGGACCCTTCAGATTGCAGGCCAACGCTCTATCCACTGAGCCAAACCAGCTATTATGTGTTTATTTTATTATTTATTTATTTTTGTTTAAAATATCTTTTTATTGATTTCAGAAAGGAAGGGAGAAGGAAGAGGGAGATAGAAACATCAATAATGAGAATCATTGTTCAGCTGCCTCTTGCACGCCCCCTATGGGGAATTGAGCCCACAACTCCAGCATGTGCCCTTGACCAGAATCGAACCCAGGACCCTTCAGTCCATAGGCCAACGCCCTATCCACGGGACTAAGCCAAACCAGCTAGGGCCAGGCCTGTGATTTTCGTTCATGCTATCACACCCACCAATTCCAATTCAGCAGCCCAACTCCGGGGCCACCTCTTATGGTGAGCCTCCCAGCCGCCTCCCAGCCCCTGGGGCTCTCCACCTGATCTGATCTCCAAACCCTGGACTCCCAGATCAGGGCTGATCTTTAGTCATCAGGGGTGGTGGCCTAGAGTCCCTCCCCAACCAGGGTAGAGGAAGGTCAGAAGACCAGAAGCCCCGTTTATAGCCCCCCTCCCAGCCTAGCCTGGCCTGGGGAGGGTCTTACCTTTTCATATGCTCGCTAGCCACTCCTTGGATGTAAATGGACATTCCCACGCTGAGGCCTCCAGGGATGGGCTTGTTGTAGGGCAGAGTCTGTAGAAGGGGCTGGGTGAGGGGCCTTGAAGCCCATCTGCCTATTGAAGCCTTTCCCCCTCCGTGAGAAGCCCCCCCCCCCTTATTCCCTTAAGCAAGCGGGGAGGGGGGGGGGACTAAGGGGTGAGGGTTCAGCATGAAGATGAAGAGGGCTGAGAGTTTGGTGTGGACGTAAATAGCCTGAGTGACAGGTGGATCCCCCAGAGTCAGTATTAAGAAAATCAGACCCAGGGGCAAGGTGGGTGCCTCTGAAGTCAGGGTGAGAGTAAATTGGTGTATGGGGGTCAGGGTGGAGCCAAGCCAGGCCAGGTGAAGGCCTGGGCCCGTATCTCACCGGGTTGTAGGTGGGCTGGTAGCCGGGTGCAGGGACAAAGGCCATCTTGAGAGTCTGGGCTGGTGGCTCGTCCTGTGAGAAGAGCTGCAGGAGTGGGAAATGGTGACAGGTGCTGGGTGGTAGCTGGCTTTTATACCCGAGGAAAAGGGAGTGGCGGGCAGGGCAGGGTTCATGGGGCCCCTCTTCTGAGCATCCCAGGCTCACATCTTCTTCTAACGTACCCTCTGGTCTCCCTTCTCTCACCAGCCTCAGTGGTAACCTGTCAGAGCCCAGATCATTGGGCCAGGCCTGGGGGGACTCAGGTCAGGGACCCCTCCTCTAGAACATTCTGCAAAGAGAAAGTGCTAGTGAACTTTGGCCCTGCCAGTGCCTTATCAGAGCCCATAAAACTCTACCTGGACCTTTGTTAGCAGAGGGAGGGTACGGTCAGGGAGGTTGGGCAGGGCAGGGCTGCAGGAGTGGCCCGGGACAGGTGGGCAATGGGAGCAAGTGAAAGCAGGGAGGAACTGGGTGCTCTTGACGCTCCAGGAACTGTGAAAGGAGCTAAACTGATTGTGTGCCTACTACATGCCTTCTCCATGACTTTCTCTTGTATACTCAGTGGTTTAAGTCACAGACTTCTGCAGCCAGAGGTTCGGGGCACAAATCCTGCCTCAGCCACTTCCTGGCTGTGTAATCTTGGGTCAGTGCCATAACCTCAATTTGCTCATTTGCTCGTCTGTAAAATGGGGATACTAATAGTATCAATTTCACAGGTCCTTGAAAGTAATCGCTAAATTAATAAATGCTCAGAAAAAGACTTGGTATATAGAAGGCATTAAATTAATGTTTGGTCTCTTGTACTCATTCCCAACATAAATCCAGGATGGTGGAATAATATGTATATGGATGAGAAAACTTAAAACTGAAAGAAATGAGGCAGTTGGCTAGATAACAATGGCACCCTCACCGGACTTCAGCGCCAGATCCCATTAAGCAGTGAGTGGGGGTCAGGAGGGGTGAACACCGCCCTCGAGCTGCACCCCTGCTTGCTCCATCCGTGCCAGACTTTCTTTGGCCCTGCCCTGTCCACGGCCAGCTCTGCATGGTCATCACCTGCCTGACTCCCATTCCCATTGGTCAAAGCTCTCTTCCCAACCTGCAGCACAACTGCCAACTGTGGTCCATGGATCACAGTGCACATTAGCTCCTTCCCACTTCTCCCATCTCCAATAAAGACACCAGGTTCTTGACTTTGCTTTATTGTTCGTGGGGTGAAGGTATGGCCCTGGACATGAAGAAATCAGTGTCATGGAGTTATAAACTGGGAGATTGGGTGAGAAGGCAGCAAGGTGACCATCTTTGCTACTTCTCCCTCTCTGGGGATGAGGAAACACAGGCACAAAGTTGGTCAAAACCAGACCCCAGGCCAGGGCCTAGGACGTGGGGGCTCTCAGAGCTTGGAGAAGGTGACACTCTTCAGTTCCTTCTTCTCCATCGCTGCCTGGACAGACTTAACGATGTCCTGGGTTTGCAGCATGCTCATGTTCCAGGAAGTCTAGATAAAGAAGGCAGAGAATAATGAAAGGATAGGGCAAGACTGGAGTTGGACCAATGAAAAACGGGGGCATAGCAGCACATCAATCAGAGGAAAAGGCCTGCAGAGGTCGCTGAGTTCTGATTGGTTGCTCTGGGATCAGAGAAGGGTTGTGATTGGTCAGATGGAGAGCCTCACCATGTAATTGAGGCCCTCGGCCACCGAATGGTCGCGGGAGTAGAGCAGGTTGATTTTGGTGCCCTGAACCGCCACGGGGCTCTTGCTGGAAATCTCGGCCGCCAGGTTGAAGGCCGCGTCAAGCATGACCTCCTTGTCTGGGAATATTCGGCTGCAAATGAAGGCCATCTGGAATCGGGGGTCTGAGAAGGGTTCTCTACCTTCCCTCCCATATTAGAAGTGGCCAATCACAGTTGAAAGCAAAAGACACCCCCCTCCTCCCATGAAATGGACCAATCAGGGCATGATCTTCCAGAATAAAGAACTGACCACTCAGAGAGAGGAAGCCCCGTGGAATCCATGAATAAGAATCCACAGGGGCCCAGAGAGCCCAGCCAAGCCTGGCTGGCCCTGAGCTCTTCACCAGCACCGGCGCACCCTACCTGACCAGCCCACTGCTCAGGGCCTCGTCAGCCATCATCTTGCGGGCGGTGAAGGCCAGCTCATTGACCAGGCTGCAGGAGGGCAGGGTTATCAGGGGCCAGCGGTCATCCCAGGTCCAGAGATGCCCTTCGGTCCCTTCCCCCAGGTTTCCCTACCCACCTCTGATTCCCGATGACTCTGGGCAGACGCTGCAGCGTTCCCACATCAGCAGCCAAACCCACATCCACCTCCTGCGGGTAGCAATCCCGTCAGTTCTTGGTCTCACTTACAGTAGAGGTCTCACTCCACCCCTCACTCAAATGCCCCTCCCCTCAAAACTCCATTCCATGTCTTTCCCAAAGGAGATTCCTTCGGCCAGAAGAGAGTCACCTTCCAATTCCTCGGCCATCTCAATTCTCCCGGGTCTGCCATGTCCCTCTCCAGAGTGAAGTGCTTCTTAACCGTGCTTAGTTCACCGCTTTACTGCATCCATGGGCTCCATCCTGCCTCCCACCCTCTCAGGCACTGACTCCATAATGCAGCATCCCCAGCCTGCCCCGTCCCCATACTTTACTCACTCCTGACCTCACCTGGACTGCATGTCCTACCCTTTAATTCCTCCATGACCAAGCCTTACTTCTTAAGGGTCATTTCTGATGAACTCTTCCATGAAGCCGTCTGGGCTCATTCCAGGCCCTCCCTCCTCCTTCCCACCTCCTTAGCCTGCACTGCCACTGCTCTGCCCTGACTCTGCCACTCATTGCCCAGCATTAAGCAGGACTCAAAGAAGCAGAAGCTCGGGAGGATGACTCACCTTCACCTGAAAGAAAGCATCCTGGGCACAGTACCGGATGTCACAGGCGGTGATGAGGTCCACACCTGGGAGGTAGAAGCCCTGGACACTAAACAACCATAAGGACCAACCCTCCGCCCAGGCCCAGGGGTTGCAATTTGGTACAAAATCCAACTAGCAACAGATCTGAGCTGGAGGCCATTGGCTGAGGCAGAAGGGCAGCAGCCAATAGGCACCCAGCGAGAATGAGTTCCGGGATGGGGGTTGTAGACTCACCTCCGCCAATGCAGCCCCCGTGGATGGCTGCAATCACGGGTTTAGGGCACTGGAAGAAAACAAGAGGGGCGGGGTCAGGGCTGGCCCAGGAGAGATGGACAGAAGGCGTGCTTTCCCAGCCCCCCAGTCACCTTCTCGATGACGCTGAAGGTCTCTTGGTACCTGGCGATGAGGCTACGTAGGTACCAGCTTATGCGAGCCACATCATCTCCTTGAGGCTGAAGGAGGTCTGAAGCCATGTCCACCAGGTCGATACCTAGTGGGGAGGTGTGAGGAGGCTCATGTAGCCTCCCACTGCCCAGCTAGAGGTGAGAACCTAGGCTCAGGCTATTTGAACCCTCCAACCACCGCAGTGGAGAAAGCAGCTCACACAGGGCTTAGCAAGGGATGGTGAAATAAAAGCTAACCTTTACTACTCACTTTTTCCTCACAACAACCCTATGAGGTGGGTCCTATTACTATCTCCATTTTATGGGATAAACTGAGGCACGGGGAATTTAAGTCAGTTGCCCAAGGTCACAGTGGCTTGTGAGTAGTGGAACTGCGACTTGGAACCCAGAACTAGGGGTCATGCTTTTCACCATTACGCCAGACACCCTGGCAGTCAGGTTTTGATTTGAGCAATCGAGTCAATGCTGCTAGTGTTTCCTGAGATGCAGCAATTCTGGGGGCTCCAACTGCAAGACAATCCCAAACCTGACCTTTGCTCCACTTGTCAGTGTCCATGACCCCTACACTCTGGCTACCATCCTGCCCCCACAGTCTGCTCCCCACACAGCCAGAGGGAACATGCAGACACTTCAAGGCCCTCTCTTCTTCCTTCCCAACCCACTTACTTAGAATAAAATGCAAGGTCTTTGCCAATACCTTACCAGCTCAGCAACACATTCCCTCTCAGGGCCTTTGGGCCTCCTGTTCCCTCTGCCTAAAACAGCCCTTCCCAAGGACTGATCCCAAGACAGATTCCATCTCTGTCCAGGACACAGCTCAAAAGTCACCTCCTCAGAAAGGCCGGCCCTGGCTAAATAGCAGCCCGTCACCTTCCATCTCCCCCCTCTGCCTATCTCCTGCACTGCTATCACATAATGTGCTTATCTCACTTAGTACCCATCCCCCATCTAGGATGAGAGCGCCAGGAGCTGGGGAATTTTTGTCTTTGTCCACCTCTGTATCCCAGTGGCTAAACAAAGTCTAGTACACAGTAGGAGCTCAAAAAGTGAACAATACAGACAATTCCTGTCCCCATGGAGCTGCCCTTCTACAGGAAAGACAAACACGAAAATACATTTTGTCAGATGATGATAAATGCTAAAACTAAAGAAGGATAATGGAATGGAAAGTGTGAGTGAGTGTGCAGTGAGGACTACTGCAGTGTTATATTGGGCGTCAGGGACCCTCTCACTGAAAAAGTGACATTTGAGTAAAGATGTGGAGAAGAGGCCCTGGCTGGTTTTGCTCAGTGGATAGAGCATCAGCCTGCGGACTGAAGGGTCCCGGGTTTGATTCTGGTCAAGGGCACATGCCTGGGTTGCGGGCTTGATCCCCAGTAGGGGGTGTGCAGGAGGCAGCCAATCGATGATTCTCTCTCATCATTGATGTTTCTATCTCTCTCTATCTCCCCCTTCCCCTCTGAAATCAATACAAATCTATTAAAAAATAAAAGATGTGGAGAAGAGACAGGGAGCTACAGGGACATCCGGGATAAGAGTTCCAAATGTCAGGAGCAGCCAGTGGTAGGAATGCCCCTGGTCTGTGTGAGGACCGTGGAGGAGGCCAGGGTAGCTGAAGTGGAATGAGCAAGAAGGAAAGTGGGAAGACTCAAGTTCAGAGAGGTGACCGGGCCAGCAATGTGGGGCCTCCTGAGCCAAGGGGAGGACTTTGGCTTTTACTCTGAGATAGAGCTAAGGGAGAGTTATAAACAGAATCATCCTTCACTTTTTTCCTCCTCAGCTTAATCATGCTCATCCTGCTGCCTGTCCTCTAACCATGTGGTTAACAAACTTGAAAAATCATTTCCACATACATCCACACCCCACTCTCAGACTTTGTTTCCTCCACAGCTTGTTTAAATGAGACGGGAGGAGTGTTGGCTGAGGGTAGAGATGAATTTATGCAAGTTACATATGCTTAAGATGGGACCCTTTGGCCCCAGCTGGTTTGGCTCAATGCATAGAGTGTTGGCCTGTGGACTGAAGAGTTCCAGGTTTGATTCCCGTCAAGGGCACATGCCCGGATTGTGGGCTAGATCCCCAATAGGGCATGTTGGAGGCACCAAATCAATGATTCTCTCTCATCATTGATGTTTCTATCTCTCTCTCTCTCTTCCTCTCTGAAATAAAAATATATATATATTTAAATAAATAAATAGATGGGATCCCTGGTGTCCTTGTCCAGGTCACTTCATCCTCTGGGCCTTGGGTTTCTTCTCTGTACAACGAGGGTAAAGCCCTCCTGAGAGCTGATGAGGCTGCAAGACTTCAAGGAGACAAAGCCCAGAGGCGCTTTAAGCAGTGCCTGGCATTAGGGCATCACACGTGGCTATTACAGACCCATTTCAGTGAGGCCAGAACCACCTGGATCAGTCTGAGCGCTTCTTCCACTCCATGTCTGAGAAGTCCGAGTGACTCACAGGAGCCACGCTTACTCCCAGACACGCCCAGCTTGGCCCCTTGTGATCCCCGCCTCCACTGGTTTTTCTGGTTTACCTGTACTCCCTGGACCTCAGACACTGGCTTTTACAACCCCGTGAAGTAAGGGCCCCTGACCAGAATACAAGGTGTTCCCCTCCACAGTAAGAACCACTCCCTGCAGTGAAGTCCGCCATCACATTCTCCAGTGAATCTGGAAATGTTCCAGGTATCATTCATAATCACAAATAACAGCTACATCAAA